CTAAATGCAAGATAGAATTATGGATCTTTGTCAGTGACCTACAATTATGACCCTAAATGCATATGTGAAGTTTTAAATAAATATCTTTAATAGTTATTGAGATATGTAAAACTTGCATGTAAACATTAACCAAGAGACTAAGTAGAAAAGGGAATATGAATCAGCCTTAATGCAAGATAGAGTTATGGAACTTGGTCAGTGACATACAATTATGACCCTCCAATTATGACCCTAAGTGCATGTGTAAAGTTTCAAGTAAATATCTTTGAAGACCTTTAACCTTTAACCAAAATTTCTAACTTTCAAAGGGGCAAATAATTCTGCAAATTTTGCAGACAGAGTCATGCAATTTTGCAAACTGATGTACATTGTTACTATAAAAAAGTATTTTAAATTTCAATTGAATATCTCAAGCAATAATTGAGATATTTGACTTTATAAAAAAACTTTAACCAAAATTTCTAAGTTCCAAAGGGGCATAATTCTGTCAATATTGTAGGCAGAGTTATCCAACTTGTCAATCTGATGTACCTTGTTACTATAAATAAGTATTGTAAGTTTCAATTGAATATCTCAAGCAATAATTGAGATATTTGACTTTACAAAAAACTTTAACCAAAATTTCTAAGTTAAAAAGGGGCATAATTCTGTCAATATTGTAGGCAGAGTTATCCAACTTGTCAATCTGATGTACCTTGTTACTATAAATAAGTATTGTAAGTTTCAATTGAATATCTCAAGTAATAATTGAGATATTTGACTTTACAAAAAACTTTAACCAACGCAGACGCCGACGCGGACGCTGACGCCGACGCCGACGCCGGGGCGACTACAATAGCTCTCATATTCTTCGAATAGTCGAGCTAAAAAGTTATAGTAAAAAATAACATTTTTCTAGTAAAAAAAATCTAAGTTAATGGGGAGATAATTCTTGCAATATTGGTGCTAGAGTTATGAACCTTGTCACATAAGATGGGGATGATGATAAGGTAAATATATTTGAAGTATAAGGTTGATCCCTGAAGAAATAAATAAGTAACAGTAAAAAATAATATTTTTTATGGAAAATTCTAAGTTCAAGGGGAGATAAATCTGAAAATATTGGTGCTAGAGTTATGAACCTTGTCACATAAGATGGGGATGATGATAACGTAAATATATTTGAAGTATGAGGTTGATCCCTGAAGAAATAAAGAAGAAACAGTAAGAAAAAGTATTTTTTGAGGAAAATTCTAAGTTCAAGGGGAGATAAATCTGAAAATATTGGTGCTAGAGTTATGAACCTTGTCACATAAGATGGGGATGATGATAAGGTACATATATTTGAAGTATGAGGTTGATCCCTTAAGAAATAAAGCAGTAACAGTAAAAATTAGTATTTTTTAAGGAAAATTCTAAGTTCAAGGGGAGATAAATCTGAAAATATTGGTGCTAGAGTTATGAACCTTGTCACATAAGATGTGGTTGATGATAAGGAACATATATTTGAAGTTGATACCTTAAGAAATGACAAAGTTATAGTGAAAAATATTTTACTGCACCAAAATTTTAATCTAAAATCTGGACGCAGACGCCGGGGCGAGTAGGACAGCTCTCCATATACTTCGTATAGTCGAGCTAAAAACTAGACTTGGTACCGATCATTTATGTAAAGTTTGGATGAAATTGCACCAGTACTTTTTTTTTGAGGAGTAGTCCAGACAAATGTGACAATGGAGAAGTGATCCCTGTATGTGGCCGCTCCTCTAGTGGGCAACACAAAAAAGATCATTTTCCACATAAAAGAGATAAACTAAAAATACTGATCATTTAGTTATGCACCTTGTCCTAAAGATGTGCCTTATCCCCATTAGCAACTATACAAGTACTAATATTATATCTTCGATATCAATTGCCAATTTTATCAAAAATTAAAGTCTAAAGGGGCATGTGAATGTTCAAACAATGCTATCATGACTGACCCAATCAAGAAATGTCTCTGAAAATGTTTTATCTGAATTATCCTTACTATACTATACGAGTACATGAATCATAAAACTTTTATAGAGTTCTACTAGGCAATACTCTATGCCAAATACAAAGGCATAGTTTTATTAAACAAAATGGTTATCCTATGCCTTAGTCTACATAAACAGTGATTTTTTTTCCAATTTTCAAAACAACCTGTGGCTTTCTGAAGGGGTAAATATAGCGCGATAAATCAGAAAAGAGGGAAAACCAGAAATCAAATTCCGACAGTTGAAAATGGAATTTACCAACACATTTTATAAAATTTTCAATTTCAATTCAATTTGACATACATGGTACATAGCAGTTGCTATCTTTAAGGACAGCTTTCTGTCTTCTAGCTGATATAAATCAGATAAATTGTAGCATTTTTAGGGGAAAATATACCTATTTTGGGCTAGGGGAAACGGCCTTTATTCGGCTGCAAAATACAGTAAAAACTAGAAATGTGTCCATAGGACACGGATGCCCCCACACGCCACTGTTCTGTCAATCTAATGACTTTAGGTCAAATATTTTTTGGACTACATGTGCCACAAATTGAAAACTATAAATCAACAAAGGGCCATAATTCAGTTAAATTTGGTTGCAGCAAAAATTCCTTCCTTTACTACCATCTACACATTAAGGTTGTTCATCCCTGGAAGTTTAAGCAAAATCTGCCATCCGGTTTCAGAGGAGTTGCGTTCACAAAATTTCTACATAGTATATAGTGAAAAAATCAACAAAGGGCCATAATTCTGTTAAATTTGGTCGCAGCAAAAATTCCTCCCTTTACTACCATCTACACATTAAGGTTGTTCATCCCTGGAAGTTTAAGCAAAATCTGCCATCCTGTTTAAGAGGAGTTGCGTTCACAAAATTTCTACATAGTATATAGTGAAAAAATCAACAAAGGGCCATAATTCTGTTAAATTTGGTCGCAGCAAAAATTCCTTCCTTTACTACCATCTACACATTAAGGTTGTTCATCCCTGGAAGTTTAAGCAAAATCTGCCATTCGGTTTAAGAGGAGTTGCGTTCACAAGATTTCGGGACGTTCGGACGGACAAGTGCAACGCTATATGCTCCCACTCTGTGGGGGCATAAAAATCAGTGATAAAGCAGATGACTCCTGGTGCAAGGATAATTTAGTCACAAGGGTCAGAATTAATATAACTTTTGTTGAAATCTACCAATTGATACTCAAATATCTAATTAATAAAATTACAAATTAAAAATACAAGTTTCGTGGAGGTCTATAAGGGAATGCCTCATGTTCTGGGCATTGTAGTTTCACATGATAAGGCTCAAATAAGTTTTTCTACAAAAGTCTTTATAAAATATGGGCCCCAATCATTGGTTTGGGCAATTATTACCAAAGGGACAAGACAAATATCTAAACTCGGGCAATGTAGTTTCATAAATTAAGACTGAAATGTGTTTTCTCAAAGAATATATCAAGTGGCCCGAAGGGGTGGGACAAATATGACCAAAGAGGAATAATAATGCTAGTTTTGTAGAGGCAAACAAGGCAATGATACATGTCAAATATCTAAACTCGAGTCATTGTAGTTTCACCAAAATAAGACTTAAATGTGTTTTCCTATACAAAACTATATTAACTGGGGTGGGGCCAATAGTGACCATGATTGATACCAGTTTTTTGTTTCACAAAGTGATGTTACACTCCAAATATCTAAGCTGTTGGCATTGTAGTTTCACACAGGAAGTCTCAAATGTGTTTTTCCCTATATAAATCAAGTGAACCCTGGGGCGAGGGCAATATTGAACCAACGGGCACGAAAACTGCTAACACACGGACGGATCAGATGTGTAACATTATACACCAAAACTTATTTGGGCGTATAAAAAGGGAACATGTAAAGAAAAATAAATTTTGATCATTTAATATAAAATTCACACTACAAAAGCACATTTATGTATAAAGATATTCAGCAATAAACCTTTCAAGACAAGAAATTTTCATAGAAAAAGCATTTATTTGAAAATGTCATCAAACATTTTAATCAAGATTGAATCCATTATTTCATCTGGTTTAACTTGAAGTATGTCTATTACGAAGATATCACAATCAATAAATGCAATGATCACATTCAAGGTTCATAAATGTATATGAAAATTCATATTCCCCCCCCCTAAATTATTGCAGAAATGTCTTTGAACAATAAATAAATAAAGTTGTGTACTAAAATGATAATGCAAAATAAATGGAAAAGAACACATATTATCAGATTGAGTTATACAGTCCATGGAAATATACGATTCTCAACAAAGCACAGTTTACTTTTTTCTGGTTTTTATATACCCTTTACTTCTCATTACAAAGTCAATCATGATATAATATTATGTCACATTTTCCTATTTCCCAGCTGAAGTAGAAGTAGGTAAGAAATTCTCTTCTAATTTTTGTGTTGGATTTGGCCTTCACATCATTGTACTCATAAGCAGTTAACCTGAAATTGATATAAAAGTTTTCTCTACAACCTCTGAAATATTTATATGAACAATTTCATAAATATGAACTTTGTTACAAATTCTAAACCATACTTGTCAAATTTTATGAATTTTAAAATCAAAATAGAAATAATCAGTAGCCATTAATAAAGATTCTGCTTAGAGAGCTTTGAAGTGCAATTGTTTAACTGCTGTTAGTATTCAGTGCTTTGTCAGACCCATATTACTAAAGTTTTCTTATATGACATGTAATATGCTACTGCATATATGTTTGTTTACACTATCTACTAATCGCTTAACTTGACTTCACATGTAACAAAATTTTGGAATTCCATTTCCTTTCAAAACCCAATTTCTTCGAAACATATCATCCAACGTACAAAATTGAACAAATCTTGTCATGTCAGCCCACATATACCATTTAACCAAGTTTCTCTTAATTCACGAAAAAGGTATAAATGATATTATATTATCTCACAGTGTACTTTCATCATTTATGAGAACATTACAATTGAGGAGGAGCAATTTATACTTACAATATCATCAATTTTCATGATACTACGGACAGTTTCTGATGCCAGATGTATGGCACTCTGTGAGACAAGTAAAGGCTGGACAACGTTCTCCTCCAGGATATTCGTGATTGCCCCCTGTAATGTACATGTAAATTTCAGTAAACGGTGAAATGTTCCGGTAATAATATACATGTACCAGAGTCTCACATAATCACATTGAACACTAGAAACTATAACATGTCCATATACAAATCAAAAGCTAAGAGGACTAAGATCCCCCCCCCCCCTCAAATTTCATACCTCTTTTCAGTGGGTTTCAAATAAGACGGACACAATAGATATCATTAGTCACTATTAAAATGTTCTAGCAGGTGTAGCCTACCATGATAAAATCCTAATATAAAGAATTCATAATCGCTAGGAGTATTCAAATCAACAACAAGCAAATTCGTTGAATTTATATCCCCCGCCGAGTACTGGTTATTATTAACACAACAACTGAAGACATAAGGCTTTATTAATATATTAATCATGGCATTAACTGTAATATTCTTTGAACTTGAAGCCTTGTACCTTCAAACAAGAAGAAGTTTTCACTATATACAAATAAGGTAAATCTATGACCCCCTGGAGTGGGGCCAATTTTGACCCCAGGGCTATAGGTTATATCATATACCAAATATCAAAGCTCTAGGCCTTGTACTTTCAGACAAAATTTTTTTATTTTGTATTTTTGAAACTCCTTTTCTGGCCCTGTGACCTACTTATGCAACAGACCGGAACCATTTGATCAACTTTTGCAGGGGACCACCATAAGATGTTGAAAATTGCAAACATTTTCTAAGTCAAGGGCAATAACTCTAAAAATACTAAATAAATCCAGTCGAAAATACCCAGGTGCACAACTACACATGCTGATCAACATTCCTTTAAAGTATCATGACTTTAGGTCAAATACTTTTTGAGTTACATGCGACACAAGTTGAAAATTGCAAAATTTTACTAAGTCAAGGGCAATAACTCTAAAAATACTAAAAATATCCAGACGAAAATACCCAGGTGCACAACTTCACATGCTGATCAACATTCCCATAAAGTTTCTTTGAATTCCAGCCATTAGTTGCAGAGAACTACTCTGGAAACGAAATTTGGACGTTTTACTAAGTCAAGGGCAATAACTCTAAAAATACTAAAAATATACAGACAAAAATACCTAGGTGCACAACTTCACATGCTGATCAACATTCCCATAAAGTTTCGTTGAATTCCAGCCATTAGTTGCAGAGAACTACTCCGGAAACGAAATTCGGACGTTTACTAAGTCAAGGGCAATAACTCTAAAAATACTAAAAATATCCAGACGAAAATACCTAGGTGCACAACTTCACATGTTGATCAACATTCCCATAAAGTTTCGTTGAATTCCAGCCATTAGTTGCAGAGAACTACTCCGGAAACGAAATTCGGACGGACGGATGGACGGACGGACGGACCTATGGCGGGCTCCTGTGTGACAATTTACTTATGTGGCGATAATTTTTTACTTCTGTGACTGCCTCAAAAAGTTATTTACAGCACCAGTCTCCTGCTGCAGTCACATAAGCTTTTAGTTTTCTGTCACACAAGCCTTTAGCTTTCTTTATCTCTTTTCTTGCTATCACAATGCCTTTATGAGAGAAAAATACAAAAGCATAACAGAAGTCTATCTTTTAATGGTGATAGTTTTATTTGACTGAATTCGAGGAAGCCTTAACAATCAATTATAACATAAATAAACGGATTAGTTGAGAAAATTATCCAGAACATTGTGTAATAGTTGTTCAATAAAGTAAATAAACATTCCTAAACTTTGGTGAATTTGTATGCAAATTAATAAAAAATTATCCTTGGATAATGCTAAAACTGTTCGAGAGTTTGAGCAGTCTAGTAGTGTTTCATTTTTAATATCACGTTCATGCAAGGGACTTCCAGCAGGGACGTTAACCAAATAAACCTCTGTTACTTCTATTTAATACAGTCAACTCCACGTATAACGAACTCCCTTATAACGAATGATCATTAATAGCGAACTAAATCTGACATTCCCGGCCAATTCCTTCTTTATTTATAATAAATCACATTGCTTAATACATACTCGCTTAAAACAAATTTTCGGCTATAGCAAACCATTTTTTCAAGTCCCAAACAGCAAAAAAAGATGTAAATCTCCTTGGTTAAAACAAACAGTTATAATTGAAATATTGGATGCTCTCTATTAAGATCAGTATATGAATAAACGCTATCCGATAATTATGCAATTGAAGTTTTCACAGGTAAGATTAAATTTTTTATAAAAATGAATCTCACAACATAAATTTCCTACTTGTACATGTTGTAAGGAAAAATTTGTGTTTCGCACCTTTGTTTATAAATTGCTGTAAATACCCTATAATAACAATAACCCATTTTTTGTTTTAATATTGACCAAACAATAACAAACAAATAGTAAAAGACAACAAATGGTAAGCACTTTATAGACAAGTACTACATGTCTAAATACATGTAACATGTACATAATATATTGTTCAATAAAATGGCCCGCATTAAATTACCGCTGCGGTAAAATATCGATTATAACGGTAACCAGCTACAGGTATGCCTTTTTCATGGCAAATTTACCCACCCAAACAAGTCAGCAAGTTGTTGCTACTTCCCTTTTAGCGAACTTTGGATACAAAAAGAACGATATCTAAATGTCCCATTGAGTTCGTTATATGCTGAGTCGACTGTATATCAAAAGAACTAGAACTCCGCAAGTTGGATGTGTCGCCTTGTGAACAATATAGTTTAGAAGAAATGGCCAGGAAAAAAATGAAATATGAAAATTAACAAAGGTCAATAACTCAAAATATAAAAAGTGCAGAGCAACAGTTTCTATGTACTGCACTTCTTATCAAGATCTATCATTCTATGAAGTTTCAAGTCAATATCTTTTATAAATTATGAGAAATAGCCTTGACAAAAATAAAGTAAGAAAATTAATAAAGGGTAATAACTCACAAATAAGTAGTGCAGAGTACCAGTTCTTAAACACTGCACTTTTTCTTAATGTAGTTTCATGGCCTTAGCTTTTATACTTGAGGAGAAATGACCGGGACAAAGTATGAAAATTAACAAAAGGCAATAACTCAAAATAAGAAATGCAGAGTACTGGTTCTTGTGCACTGCACTTCTTCCTAATGAGATCTATTATCCTATGAAGTTTCAAGTCCATAACTTTTATACTTTCGGAGAAATGGCCCAGACAAAAATAAATTATGAAAATCAGCAAAGGGCAATATCTCAAAAAATAAGAAATGCAGAGTAACACTTCTTGTGCAATGCACTTCTTCTTAATGAGATCTATCATCCTATGAAGTTTCAAGTCCATAGCTTTTATAGTTGAAGAGAAATGGCCCGGACAAAATTAAAGTATGAAAATTAACTAAGGGCAATAACTCAAAAATTAAGAAGTGCCGAGTACGGGTCCTTGTGCACTGCACTTCGGGTAATTGAAAGAGGCTTGCATACCAAGTTTGAAGTCAATCAGACTTAAAGTGACTGAGTTATGCTTCGGACAAGCCTTAGGGGACGCCGACACCGATGCCGCCGACAAAAGTAATCAATATATGTCACCTTTTCAAGGCGACACAAAAATATTCCCTGCATAACTATAACAAGAGGGCCATGATGGCCCTAGATCGCTCACCTGACCCATCAAACTCATCCAAACAATTACCTAGACAAGCATTCTGACCAAGTCTCATAACAGGTGAGTCAAAAATGTGACCACTACAGTGTAAACAAGGATTATCCATATTTGAGCAGTGTGACCTAGTTTTTTTACCCAGGTGACCCATATTCAAACTTGACCTAGAAATCATCAAAACAAACTTTCAGACCAATCTCAAGGATACTTGGATCAAAACAGTAGCAACTAGAGTGTTCACAAGATTTTTCTTTTTTTTTGTTCCGGTTACCTAGTTTCACATGCGATTTCGAACTCATCTGAGCAATTACCTAGACAAGAATCCTGACCAAGTTTGATGATAATTGAGTCGAAAATGTACCATTAGAATGTTAACAAGGTTTTTTCCATATTTGGGCGGTGTGACCTAGTTTTTCATCCAAGATGACCCATGTTCGATCTTGACTTATAAATCATCAAAACAAACTTTCAGACCAATTTACAGGATATTTGGATCACAACAGTTGCCACTAGAGTGTTAACAATATTTTTCTATTTCTAGCTCCTGTGACCTAGTTTTTTTATCTGAGATGAAGCATGTTCAAACTCAAGAGAGCAATTAACTAGACAAGCATCCTGACCAAGTTTGATGACAATTGAGGCAAAAAATGTTTCCACTGAGTGTTAACAAGGTTTTTCTATATTTGGACAGTGTGACCTAGTTTTGGACCCCAGGTGACCCATATTTGAACTTACCCTAGAAATCATCAAAACAAACTTTCAGACCAATTTCAAGGATATTTGGATCAAAACAATAGCCACTAGAGTGTTAACAGGATTTTTCTATTTTTAGCTCCTGTGACCTTGTTTTTCATCCGAGATGATGCATGTTCTAATTAACAAGAAAAGTATCCTGACAAAGTTTGATGATGATCGAGGCAAAAATGTGACAGCTAGATCTGTGTTAACAAACAAATGTGGACGACGACGAATATTCAACGATCCTAAAAGCTCACAGTGTGATAGCCTAGCGTGAGCTAAAAACTTAAGGGAAAGAGTGACAAGCTTAATATAATAGTCAAGCTTGAAAAGTGAGCAAAAACTGGCATCATGAACTGGCATCATTTAATTACAAAGCTTGCTAACCTTATGGTGTGCCTTGACAAGCTAATAACACTGGTTTACCATATAAACATTAGTTATCTTAGAACCATGGTTATATGTAATACTGATATATCAATCAGACAAAAACATGTAATACAAGACATGTACTAGTATCTCAACCCTAAACAAACAATGTACTAGTATATCAACATGAAACAAACAAACAATAACAGTAATACATGTTCCAGTATATCACCAGGAAACAAACAGAAATACACACTGCGGTTTATCAACCGGAAACAAACAGTAGAATAGATTTACCAGT